GCATAAAGAATGAGCTCACTTTTATGCTCTTTTGAAGCTAGGTGTGGTTATGTGACTTCCTTTAGCCAATAAAGTGTGAGCAGAATTGATAAGCATCAATTCTGATATCAGGTGGAAGCAGGTAGGAGCTGGTGCTAATCTCTATGCTCTCTTTGCCCTGCTGCTGTGGCCAGTGAAAATTAACCCTGCTATTCCAAGCTACTGGTAGTTGAAGGTTGTTTGTTACAGAAAAATAACCTAGCTGTCTTGGGTTATTTTTGCCATGGATGAATCATTAATGAAATGAATGAGTGAATAAATAATGGCAGTGCTGGAAATGGATTAAAGGGGTGGGGAGACCCAAGGAGGGAGTTGGAGGCAGACACGATTGGTTCCCTACTCTAATAGAAACTGTCCCTTCACCCTTCTTTCTTTCCTGCTGGCAGAGCCTGCATCCCGCTATAGAGATTGAAAATGCCAAATGATGGCTTTCACAGCCTTCCCTGCAGCTAAGACATGGGTGTGTGACCCAGTGCTGGCCCATGGACCTTGAGCGTCTTCTGGAAGGCTTTATGGAAAGGGTTTTTCTCCCCCCCACCAAAAAAAAAAAAATAGACTTACCACATTGTTTAAACTACTTACACATTGAGCTCTCTGTTACTTGCACCAAAGCACCCTAAGAGATACAGTGTTAATAGCTACAGTGTTGCAGGAATCCAGGGAGGGATGCAGAGATGAGGAATCCCCAAATGTAGGCCTATTTGAAGGGCTAGAGAGAAAGAGATAGAGCTGAGGAAAGCTAGGAAGTAGGATGAACAGGACTTGGTGCCTGACTGGGTACAGCAGGGGTTGAGTTGTGTGCCGTGTGAAATAAAAGAGGTCTAAAATCCCAGTCCCTGAGGTCAAAGATGCCAGCAGAAGAGACTCATGCTGATGGAAACACCAAGCGTTCAAGGCAGGCTTCACCACGGGCTGTGTGCTGTAGGAGATACCACGGGGGAGAGAGGACTGAGTAGTCAAGACAGCTATGGGGAGACAGCAGGGCTGGAAGAATGGCTGAGCTTTGCTTTTGGGTGGATAGAGAAGATAGTAATAGTCTGGGCAGGCCCATCCTCATATATCTTCAACCAAATTCTATAGCTAGTACTTTACAAATAACCTTTGTCTTACAACTTTCATGTTTAACTTTGTTTCAACCATTTGTACCTATTGGATAGAAAGCAACAGAGGAACAATCCAGTTCAATACCCAATATGCTTTAAATTTAAACATCACTTAAAAATTGACTACTTAATATATTATTAGGTAGCCACACCACAGGCCATTTAATTATTCCCTTACTCTCAAATACCATGGGTTTCCAGTACTTAAAATAGTGCTATGGTGGGCTCTTCTGGCCAGAGAGTTTCCTTTGGCTTAGATTATTTCCTTAAGATAAATTTCCAGAAATGGACTCATTTCTAGAAATACTAAGAATGATGAACCTCATCCAAGACACAACTACTATGATTCTCCATGAATAGCCAAATTGCTTTTGCAGATTGACAGAACCAAGATGGTTCTATCATCACATATGAGTATTTTGTTTAACATTGAAAATGCAAGACTGGATCACCTGACTCAGGAAGATTTACTATGTGGTGTGGCTATTTTCGGTTTATGAACTCAGCCCTTGGACTGTCCTTTTGATCCCGGGTCCCTTATAATCAGGATTTGCTGCTCTGTTTTGAGCCCATATGATCTGAATTTGGGGCTTAGTAGAAATTGTTAATTGAGCTACGAAGCAATGTGTTTCCTCTAAAAAACAAAATCACAACCCTTTATCCAACTGCTAAACAAAGTAACCATTAAATAGCTAAGCAAATAAGCCAACATCAAGAATTTAAAAAAAAAATCAACCCTCAGCTTTAAATAATACTTCAGTATCTAGAGTATTAAATGCTTCTGTTCTTTTCTTATTAATCCAGGATTATTTCCAATCAAAGCCTAATCTCATCCTGGTCTTGGGACTCCAAGTGATTAGAATGTGCCATTCTAACAGGAGTGGAGTTTGAGTCCTTGCATGGCCCATGTAGGAAGCTGTCTGGCTTCCCAGACCAGGAATCTCTTAACCTGGCTGTTGAGATACCTCTCAGCTTTGGGCTCAGGACCCCTTCAGGGGCTAAGACTTCTCTGGGCCCTGGATGAGCAGACAGGAGGGTTTGGTTGTGTGAACAGGACTGTCATTTGCCTCCTCCTGAAGGACAGCACAGGCTTGGGCATTGAGACAGGAGTGCAATCTCAGTACCAACTGGGAACAGTGTTCAAAGGGGTGGGAAGGTCTTACCTCCCCGTGTGGCCAGACATCAAGTGTCTGCATGGGAAAAACCATGACTGCATCTGGACGATGAATTGGCATTCTTTTTCCCAACTACAGGACTAGCAAAACTCAACATAGTGTCACTTTACTTCTCTGAATCTCATTTTCTCCCCTATAAACAAGGGTTTAAAAACTCTCAGTAGTGCTTTGAAAATCAAATGAGACTATTTGGTTTCCTAACACATGGTAAATGCTTTTGAAGGTCTCTGAAAGCAGATAAAGAAATTAATTAATAATATTAGTTTGTTCTTTGTTTTCATGAATAACGATGTAGCCAACATCTGTATTGCAGCTTTTAGTTTATAATAGTTCTTCTACGATAATTCTAATGTACACAGACTCACCAGGGAGTCTTGTTTAAATGCAAATCTTAGATTCAGTAGGTCTGGGGTATGACATGCTGCTGGTTCATGCACCATGCTGTGAGAAACAAGGGTGTGCAGCAATAGAAAACATGACATTTTCTAATAGTAGGTTCCTGGCAGACTTCACGTCATCAATTTAGACAGTTGTTAGTGTAGTCCACGTTTTTATATGATCAAAATAGCCTTTAATATTCTACAGGTGATATAATTGGATGGCATAGATTTAGAAGGTAGAAACTAGGGTCTACACAGGACTTTCCTAAGTGTTCTTGACATTTCAATAGAAATTAGTTAAAAAAAGATGTGGACACATAAATTTGGTGAAGCTCAAGTTAGGCAAAAATTAAGCCAAGTTCTTTACTGCAGAGCATTATAACTTACAAAGCTTTTGTCCTCATGTAAGTAACATAAAACCCAAACAAGTTGCTTAAATAAGGACACTTTATTTTTCTCTCAGTAAGAGAAGTCTGGCAGCAGAGAAGTTCCTGGGTTGGTTAATCCAGTGGCTCAGTGATATATCAAGGACCCAGGTCCTTTCCGTCTTGCTCTGCCATATATGGCGCGTGGGGTTCGTCCTCAGGCTAATCATCCTCATGATCAGAAAAAGACTGGCAAAATAACAATCCCATCCTTATGATGGCCAAAGGCAATCTGCTGGGGAAAACCCTGCCTTGCTCTTTAAAGAGAGACTAACAAAAATCCTGCTTACAGGATGACAAGATATTAGAAAGAGAAAACCTTAAAGAGTTCACCAAAAAAACCAATTAGTTAGAACTCTTAGAACTAAGAGAATTCAGTGAAGTTGCAGGATACAAAATCAATACATGAAATCTGTGTAGCAAGGTGCCTTTCCCTATGGGGCTGACAGTCACGCTGTGGGAGTAGCCGTGAAAAGAAAGAATGTCACAGAGCAATCTCATTCCCCTAAGGAACCTGAGTGCAGTCTGGACTCCCACATGGGGAGAAGAGAGAAGAGGAGGATGCTGATGGGTCCTTCTATGTGCTCTGCCCCATGTAGATGAACAAGTTGGGTTAGAGTTTATTCATCAGGTTTGTGAGCTCGGTTAATGTGCATCTACTGCAGACACAGAACCCGTCTCCACGTGCTGATCATGTCACTGCCAGGGCTGTGGTGAACTTAAAAGGTGGTAAACAAGTAAAGAATAACAATGGTTAACACTTCATAAGCATTTACCATATGTCAGGACAACCCCCTTTGGGGTAAGTTTTATTATTTTCCGATGTATAGATAAGAAAACTAAGGCAGAAATGTTCAGTAACTTGCCAGAGGTGGAATCCATACACCTATGATTTGGACCCAGAGAGCCCACCCCCCTACAGCTCCGCTGTACTGCCCTGAGAAAGGCAGCTGGATTAACCTTGGGGGCACATTTTGTCTTTGTTCCATGGTTGCTGACCCAGTCCCTTTCCCTTATTCTTAAATCTCAATAAGGGTAAACGCGGGGTGCCTTTAAGTCTCACTTATTGGATGAGCATTTGCCTAGGTTGAGTAGGGCTTTCTTCCTCTCCAGAGAATTGCCCATCAGAAGTTTTGAGGTGGGGGCTCTCCTCCTCCACTGAGCTTCATTCCTACCCCTCAGCCAGACAGAACATGGAGACAGAGCCTGGCGTGCCCAGACCACAGACTCAGACAGTTGGTCCTGGGGCTGCAGGGACCTGGGTGGATCCTCTTGGCTCAGACCTGCCCCCACCTTCCATCTGTTTCCTCTGTGCCCCCTCCACCTCCCATCCCACAGACATCCCGCCAGCCCCACTTCTTCCAGCCCCCACCCTCCTGGTTCACAGACAGCTTGCACTTCCCCAGATGGCACCAGCCTGAATCTCATCAAGCAGCCTGCTGCTGGGAGCGCTGCCCTTCAGGCCCAGCTGCAGGACACGTGTAATGAGACTGCCCCGCGGACACCCTGTCTCCTGCCTCATTTCTAATAACTCAGTTTCTTCCTGACGATTGGAATGAAAGGACCTCTTCACCTCAGAATATTTCAAATGCCAAAACAAATAGCAACTTACAGCAAATGGGATCACCCACGGCAGTTTTTCTTTACTTTAATGGAAATAACAAGGAAATCAGCACAAAAGATGGGCAGTGAAAAATGGGTCTCCCTCCCTCCCTCAAACCCTGGGCCCCCCTCCTCAGAAGTAACTGCTCTTAGTAGTTTTATTTCTGAAATGTTATATGTATCAACATAGAGAATTGTTTTTACCTCTTTGACATAAATGGTAGCATAGTAAATGGATCCTAGGATTTTTTTTAAATTTCTATTTTTCCTACTTACCAATATATCTTGGAGAACTTTCCATATGAGCTCATCCAGATCTCCTTTATTGTTTCTATGGCTGTAGAGAATTACATTATGTGGTTATTCCATAATTCATTTCACTAACTTTCCACTGATTGATTTAGGTGACTTTTAGATTTTTTGCTGTTACCTTGGGAGCTATATTTAACAACATTGTGCATATATTTTGGGGAATATTTCTGCAGGATAAATTCCTACAAGAATTTATTTAAAAAAATAGATTGGGCCAAACTGTTCTTCAAATGGCAGTTATTCAATGGAGACTAAACAAACTGCTTAGACTTGATGGGTAAATCATTTAAAATAACCAAGACACTATTTTACATGGAATAGCATCTTTATGACTCTAAGATACAAAAACATAAACTATAAAGGAAAAGAATGATATGTTTTAAACTTCTGAACTGTAGAGACATCATAAAAGAGTTAAAAGTCAAGCCACAAACTGGGTGAGGATATTTGCAATGCATTCAATCGCTAATATTAGTATTATTAGTGTTATTAATATTAGCTTACATTAGTATCAACATCTGCACATTATTAACAAAATATAAACACTGTCCCACCCTAATGGTAAAAAGCTAAGAACAGGCAATTCAGTGAAGAAGAAACTGAAATGGCTAATGGACAGATGAAATGATGCCCAGCCTCACAAATAATCAGGAAAATATCAATTAAACAGCAATGAGATAGTATTTCATTGGCAAAATTTTTTTTATTCTGGTAATACCAAGAGAAGCAAAGCAATTAGGTCTCTTATAAACTCTCAGTGGGAGTGTAAATTGGCACAACCAGCAATTTGGCAACACCTAAGTGCCCATTGCATTAACTCCACTTCTTATTTGATATATCCTTGAGGCTCTGGCACCCGTGAAGTCACTGACTAGAGAGAGACGACCCTCCCCAGGGCTAGCCAGTTCTTAAAGGGAGCAAAGGGCTGGGGGCACTCCTTTCATATGCATACTACTCAATCCAGAGCCCATGCTCTGAACCACCTCCTCTGTCTGCTCCTACACTCCAGGGGACAATATTCCTCTGCCCTCATCACCTGGGGCTGGGTACCAGACAACTAGAGACCACCCTCAATCCAGAGCCCATGCTCTGAACCACCTCCTCTGTCTGCTCCTACACTCCAGGGGACAATATTCCTCTGCCCTCATCACCTGGGGCTGGGTACCAGACAACTAGAGACCACCCCGTATTCCAGAGTCTGTTGACGTTATTCAAAGCAGCCAATCCTAAGCTGTTTCCCCCGCCTTCCTTTCTCCCAGAAAACAATAAAGGCTCTGGGCCATGTTTTTCCTTCATGCCTTCTAACTCCTGATCAAACCTGGTGCTTCCCCACCTGGCCTTGCATGTCTGAAAATGTAAGTACAATAGCCCCTCTTATCCACAATGGACCACAGTCCCGAAGCAGATGATCCCCCTTCTGACAGATCATCAGAAGGTCAATAGCAGCCTAACCTATGTCACAATAGATCATTCACCTCACTTTATCTCATCATATAGACATTTTATCAACTCACATCATCACAAGAAGGGTGAGTACATCACAACGAGATATTTTGAGAGACAGCCCACATTCACATAATTTTTCTTAAAGCATGTTGTTATAATTGTTCTATTTTATCATTAGTTATTGTTGTTAATCTCTTACTGTGCCTAATTTATAAATTAAACTTTATCATAGGTATGTATGTACATAGTATATATAGGGTTTGGTACTATCTGAGGTTTCAGGCATCCACTGGGAATCCTGAAATGTATCCTTCATGGATAACAGGGGACTAATGTAATAAAAAATCTTCTTCCCATGGCATTAGCCTCGCTTGTCATCACTCAGTCGCCCCCATAGGTTAAAATCCCATGGGTATAGTTGATACACTCACTGGAGGAATTCCCATACAACGCAAAGGGAGACGTGTAAAAGGGTGCTCAGTACAGCATGGTTGGTTATAGTGAAACAGTGACGACAACCCTAATGTCCGTCAGCAGGAGAATGATTAATATGTTGTCCCATGGTCTCATAATAGGTTACCAAAAAGCAGGGAAATGGAAAAGAATGGAGCTCTGTATCACAAGGCTGAATGAAAATGGCAAATCACAAACTTAATCAATGTGCTTGCTTATATGAAATTAAAAAATACTTATAAAACAATATTATATATAATTTATAAAACATATTCATGTAATCAAAAGGAAAGATCTCTCTAGTCTGTGGCATGGTTGCGCATGGGAGGGAGAGTTGTGGGGTAAGGTTAGAAAAGAGGTCAAAGAGGTTTCACCTCCATCTGTGATGTTTCATTTCTTTAAAAACAAACAAATATTTGACCAAGATGTGGTGAAACATTAAGATTTGTTCAGTCTGCCTGGCAGATACTTGGATGTTTGCTGTTCTATTTTCAATACTTTACTGTATGTTGAGCTATTTCACAGTGAGAGCGAGAAATGGTTCAGGATGCTTGAATGATCTCAAGAACATGTAAAAGGACAACATGATAGGATGCCAGTTCTGTCCCCATCTCAATTGTGTCAAATTTTCTCCTCTCTACCTAAGCCTTATTTTTAACAATTGAGGACTTTTTAGAAAGAGTGTAAACCTTCAACCCACAGAGGATCTACCTATGTTTAATCAAATGTTCAAAAACTAAGTCACACACCTGAGTGCTATATTACAGGCCTATTTGATTAATTAGCATAACCCCACTTTATTTCTCAGGAGGAATAAGGAGAGAAAAATACTCTATTTCTTCCAATGAAAGTAGTAGTTGTAAACAATTTCTAAAAAGTATAAAAATCTGGAATTTTCAGATTAAAGTTTTCAGAATTTTCATGAATCAAAATTATTTCACCTAAAGTAACAAGCTACACCTTAAAATATTTCTTTTGTTTTTACTAAAAACAGGCATATTTTTTGTTCTTCTCAAAATAAAGGCTACATTTTACTAGAAGTATTTAATAGCCCTTGCTATTAGTCACGACGTTTTTGGCAGCAAATATCAAATGAACAGTGACCTAAACAACAAAGACATTCAGTTATCTGACATAACAGGATAGGTACAAATAGTTTGGGGGCTGGGTGCAGTTACTGAACACTCTTCTCAAAGACCCAGACTCGTTCTTTCTCTTCTGCAATCCTCAGTGTGATAGACAGCTTCCAAATTGGTCCTTAATAATCCCTACCTTCTGGTATGCACACCCTTCCCACATTTTACCAGGGTTGGTTCTGTGTGGCCAATAAAATATGGCAGAAGGGATAGTGTCAATTCTGAGATTAGGTTATAAAAAGACTGCAGTTTCCCTTTGGGCTTCACACTCTATCTTGTTCTCTGTCTCTCTTATGCTCTCTCGCTCTTTTGCATCTCTCACTGGGGTGAAAGCACACTGTCATCTTGTGAGCCACCATTGGAGAGACCTGTGTGGTGAGGCACTGGAGCTTTCTATCCAGAGCCAGCTAAGAACTGATGCCTATCAAAACCACGAGAGTGTGTTTGGAAATGGATTCTTCCACTCCAGTGACCCTTGAGGTGATTGCCCACTCTGTCTATCAGCGTGAATACAACTTCATGAGACCCTGAGCCAGAACCATGCAGCTAAGCTATTTCTGGGTTCCTAATCCTGAGAAACTGTGTGAGATCAAAATGTTTGTTATTTTAAGGTATTACATCTTAAGGTAATTTGTGACACAGCAATAGATAACTAACATACTCATTGTGTCTGTCATGTTTCCCCTGATGGGTGATAGATGGCTACCATAGCATGAAACACCCTGCAGGACAGCATCTCAGCAGGAAGGGGCATTAGGCAAAAGGAGCTTTCCCTGTGTACCTTTCTCCCTTTATCAAAGAGGAAAAGTGTTTTTTAGAAGCCACCCAGAAGATTTCCCCTTACTTCTCATTGGCTGGAATGAGTCTCTAGCTGCAAGGGAGGCTGGGAAATCAAGTATCAGCCCTCCCAGCTGCTTTACAGGGAAGTGGGCAATTCTCTGCGGTATGGAAACAGCTGCTGTGTAACAACAACATTATCTACCAGCCCTTCCCACAGCTTCAGCTTGTCTGGTTGTTTTTACCTGGCATCATTTAACTTGTTTCTTCATACTCTCTATTCACTGTAAACAGGAAGTTAAGCCTCAGTTAGATTCAGGTTAAACATTACTGGCAAGATTGTTCATGGGTATCACTGTGACCTTCCTACTCTCTCCCATCAAGAAACACCAGGTGCTTCAGTAAATAAACATTTTAAAAGATATAAGCAGAGGATGGAGCACTGTTAATGAAAGGCCAACCCAGAATCTACATGCTGTCTTTCTTACTGAGAGCTCTGTCCTGGGTGACTTCATGTCTTATGGAAAACTCCAGATTCTTCTATCAGTTCATTTGGGGTCATCTTGTTGGAATTGTGTGTGATAAGCAGTCTCCATCTCCTGCACGGGCTTGCAGGAGTTTAAACATCTAAAGAGGATAATGAACCAGCTTTAACACCAAATGTGGAAATGTTGAAAACTGATCCTTTCCTGATGTAACCCACCTGAATTTCTGAGGTTCTGTTAAGTGTAATGTCAGGAGCAAAAGGAAATGAGAAAATCTTCTCAGTTGTTTAACCCCAGGTACAGGACAGGAGAGGCCTGTGGCCCACCAGCCCTCCTCAGATGTGCAGAGTGCTCAGCCAGGGTCAGCACATGATGACCACATTAACAGCTCCTGTGGCCTCATGAACAATCGTCAATTTCTAGTTTGCTTGTTTGCATAGTAGGGGTGTGGCACCTGTGCTATGTCCCTGGAACCATCCCCATGGAACCTAAGAATATGTTCACTCAGTGAAGACCTCAGCCTAATCTGACAGCCAGGACTGAGGAGGCAGGAACACCCGGGGACACATCAGGACAAGGGGTGTCCTTGAAAGGGTGGTGGGCCCCCAGCCCTCTTGAGCCTCTGTAGCCCGTGTAGAGCAAGGTGGGCCTGCCTCCTGTTTCCCTGGGAACAGCAAGATGACCTGAAAGGAGAATGCCTGTCCTAGGTCATCTTCCTTCAAAACGGCCCTGCACCCCCTCCAGCTGCTTACCTGTCTCTGCCGCTTCCGTGGCAGGGGTGCTCTCCCCCTCTCTGGAGACTTTCCTGCCACCAGGCCCCCAGCTCCCAGGCCTGCTTTTCATCTCAGACGCTCTCACAGTTCATTCGTCCTCCACCCAGCTTCCCCTGTCTGTCTCAGTTTTCCCCAGAGAGCCAAAGGCAGCCCCAACCCTCCCAGCCCTGGGGCTTAGAATGAGGCAGAAGTCATGACTCACCCTACTCCTCTAACCAGTCCCAGCCCTGAGTCTCTGCAGCAATGGCTCCTTTCAGGCACCACCCTGCTCTGGCCGCCGACATCCCCAGGAGGCAGCAGCGCTGTCCTCGTCCCTCTGTCCCGAGCCCTGGTCTCATTGCCCTCCCAAGACTAAGACCTTTCCCAGCTCCTCTTGCATGTCAAAAATGGATCCACCTTCCTCTTCCCACCCCACCTTCCTGTTCCACCTTATCTCCAAGGTCAATCTTGCCTTGGCCCTTACTACCCTTTGATGATAATAGACATTCCACAGCCCAGGCATTTTACAGCCATATCTTTAACTTTTACAGCTATTGTGCAACATCCATATTTTTGTCCTTTTTACAGATGAGGAAGACTGAGGCCCAGAGAGGTTACACAGGTCATGCTACCTATAAGTAGCAGAGCTGGGATTCAACCCATGCCTGCCTGATCCAAAGTCCTCCATCCTGTGTAAGGGGCTCCATCATGCCCATTCTCTCCTCTGCAAGGGGCCTTCGCTGTTCCTTGCCATGACACTCCCCCACCTTCCTTCCAGCTTCTTCAGGTCCCTCTACCCACAGCTCCATGGCAGAGCTTCTCTGGTGCTTCCAGCCCACCCTGCTCACCCTTGTCTCTTAGGTTTTCTGGCAGGAATCTCAGCCCTGCACCGTTTGGTACCTAACTGTGGACCACTGCATATGGTTCGCTGTTTCACACTTGCCTTTCTTGCTCCCAAGAATCCTGTCTGAGTTACAGGGACTGGTGCTTCTACTCACTCCCTTCCCTCAGGACCCCAACACAGAGCTGGGTGTGCAAATACTCAGCGGAGCTGACCTGATTTCCCAGGAAGAGGCAGGATCTCAGTGTTCCAAAGGCCGGCTGGGCTCCACCTCATCATAGCCTATGCTCCAGCGGAAAGCTGCACGTCACACACACACACACACACACACACACACACACACACACACACACACACATTTTCTCTGTTACGCAGACGTTTAATCAAAACGTCTCTTCCCAGATGGAGGCAACTATATGCCTGGAACTACCTACCCAAGAGAGAAAGCTCCATCCTGCCTGAGTACTGGGCATTGCCCTCCTTGTGGAATCCCAGTACAGGCAAGCGGGGCCAGCAGTCAGTGGGAGCCCCCTGGGATCCCAATCTAGTCTCGGGGGCAGAAGAGAGATGCGATCTTATAATGTGGTTGCTCTGTGACATCCTTGGGCAGTGAGATTTGTGGGTTGTGAGGAAGACCCTCCTCTCCAGGGCCAAGTCGCACACCTCTAGAGGGGGCTTGACCAGTGCCCCCACACCCACACACCACCTCCCTAGTCCTTTGGGCCCCAAAACATCACTCTGCCCTGGCCTCGATGTCCCCATATCTGGTCTCCCAAGCTGTTCACTCTTGGGGTAAAATGTTGCCCTCTCAAGCTTCTCATTTCAAACGCTTAGAATGATCCAGATTTTAGATTGATTTCTTCCTGGACAGAGACAGCCTGAAGGTTTGGGGCTTGGTGAGAGGGCACTGACTAAAGATGGGTGGGTCAGTGAGGGGCTGGGCAGAAAGAGGGTGAGAGATGGAGACGCAGTGGTGGGTGGGGCTCTGACACCCAACTTCTCTTCCTCGACAGTTTTGCCTGTGGCCAGTCCTAACATGTGAACCAACACACAAGTGAATAAGCAAAGCGGAGCTTATGTAAGAACAAAAAAACAATTGTGTAACACACTGCACATATCACACAGAAACTGGAGAAGGAGCCCAAGGAGGGGTGGCACTGTGGCGCACGTGGGTGGTATCAGTGTCCCTCTCAAAAACTAGAGCCACCCTGCCAGCCTTACCCAAGGAGGAGGGGACACTGTCCTCTGGGAGGGAAGCCAGCATTTGATTCCTTCACTGCCTCAGCGTGTCAGGGAGGGAGGCACTCTAATAACCATCAGTGGATGTTTTGCAATCCCATGGGTGAAGCCTTCTGGGCCAAGGGCTGAGCAGTGCCTGCCTCCTCGGCCTCGGGGACGGCCATACACCACAGCCCCAACTGCTCCTAAGCGTATCTAGCGCCGGCAGGGAAATGAGGTCTCTGCAGGAGATGAATCTCACCACGCAATGAAGCCAGGGGAGCGCTCACAGGACCAGAAAGCTGCTCACACGTCCAGGGGGCCTCCTGCCAGTGTCCTGGGCCTGGCGCCCTTTCCCAGCCTTTGGGACTCTCTCCTGGCAGTGCTCAACAGGCTCAGGTGGCTGTCTGAGCCACCCGTGGGAGTCCCAGTCGACTGGGGAGACAGCCACATTCCAGTCTCCAGCTGGCTGGGAAGCTTGGCACTGAGTTCCAGCAGGCAGACAGCCAGGCTCAGGCAGGCAAGCTCTGAGGGGTGGTTCCTTCCCACTACGGGAGGCCCCAGACTGAGGAGATGGAGGAACAGGTGTTCAAGGGGGACCCGGACACCCCTCATTCCATCTCCTTCTCCGGCAGTGGATTTCTCTCATTCTACCAGGCTGGGGCAGTGGACGCCCTTCGGGACCTGGCCCCCCGGATGCTGGAAACAGCCCACCGCTTCGCTGGGACATCAGCAGGAGCAGTGATTGCAGCCCTGGTCATCTGTGGGATTGAAATGGGTAAGGCCTTTGTTCTGGGTCCCCCGGGTAGCCGCTGGAGGGATTCCCCAAAGCAGAGCCTGAGGATCACTTGGGGATGCTTTTGGGAACAAAGCCAGACCTTCTGGGTAGCAGGAAAGGAAGAGGTGGGTTGAGTGGGACAATGGGAAGCTGTCACTTTTGAGACTGGGGTCTGTTGGTCCCAGTCTCTGACCCACTGAGCGAGCTTGGGCCCATCTCTCCCTCCCCTCCAGTGCTCTTACCTGGGGAGCCCTGTCTCCCAGTACCTGGGAGAGGGCAGGGCAATACTCCCTCAAACATCCTCATCTTGGAAGTTACACCGTGGAACAGTCATACATTAGGGTGACATGTTGCTCCTGTCTGGCTTTGTTTAAATGCAAATATCCTTGGGAAGGGTAACACTTCACATCTTTATCACGTTGGTGGGGATGAATTTGTCAGATCAGCTTCCAAGTGGCTGGGAGGTGAAAGCCCTGGGGCTGGAAGGATAGATGAAGGGGCCCAAGGGGGAGAAACTGGGAATGAGGAAGGAAGATCTGCTTCATCTTCTGCTCTGTTAGTCCCGGGGCTCCAGAGAGAAGAATGGGCCCACACTGCTGGCCCAGGGGGCAGATGCTCCATCCTGTGCAGGGGGAGTGGACACGTTCCTAGCAGCTCCACACATATGCCCCAAGGGCTGCCTTTGGATGGATTTATTCAATTATTGTGTTACTGTTCTGTTCCAGGCCCTGTGCCAGGCACTGGGAACAAAGTCCCTGCCTTTATGGAGCAGAAATTCTAGAGAGGAGACAGATAATAAACATTCCAACAAATAAACTTATGATGTCACATCAGGAAGTGATAAGATCTATGAGTAAAATTACAGCAGGAAAGGGTCAACCTGTGGACTATTTTAGAAAGGGTAGTCAGGGAGGCCCTTCTGGAGGAGGTGACATTCAAGCAGGGACCTGAGCAAAGTGAGAGAACAAGCCATTTGAAGATCAGGAAAGAAACATTCCAGGCAGAGGAGCAGCCAGAGAACCAGTGGGGCTGGGGTGTGGTGGGTGAGGAGGAGGGAGGGAGGATAAGGCTGGAGAGGCAGGCAGGGGCCAGAGTACAGTGGGGCCTTGTAGCCACAGTAGCAAGCTCTGGTTTCTCTCTGAGTGAGGTGAGGAGCTCAGACACCCGTGAGGGAGCCAGTGTGGGGAGGCAGCTAAGAGCATGCACACCACATGGATCGGGTCCCAGCTCTGCCATTTCATGATGTTGACCTGGGGAAAATTATCGAATATTCAGAGCCTCCATTTCTGCATCTGTGAAGTGGAGATTCTACTTGTGCCTAGTTCTGAGGGCTGTAAAGGATTAGTTGGGCTAGTGGTTCACCTGCTTACTGCAGTGCCTGGCACATGGCAAGTGCTTGGTATGTGTCAGCTACTTATTTGGGGACTTGAAGGACCCCGACTGCTGTGCAGAGCGAGGTGGAGGGGGTGAGGGTAGAAACAAGGAGTTGGGACAGGTGTGAGTCTATTGTCCATCTAAGTGAGCAAAGCAGATGGCTGGGTGGTGAGGGCAGTGAGAGGGCTTTGGATTCAGGATATATTTCACAGGTAGAGCCAGTGAAGCCTGCTGAACGGGCAGCTGCCGTGTTTGAGGAAGAGGTGCCCGCAGAGTGCTTTCCTGCCTGGGACCTCTGTGTGGGTGGGAAGTCTTTGTGTTTGTTTTAAAGAATAATAGTAATGCCCACTCAATGAATACCTCTCATGTATAAGGTAATTTTTCCTTTCTAATATTTACAAATAAGAACTCTTTCTCACTGTGCAAAGTTCAAACAATGCAAAAGTATATAGTGGAAAATTATACAGAGGTTAGAAAAGCCACCACTCAGCCCCTTGATCCCCAGTCCTGCTCTCCCTCCTGTAGCCAGTGCTAAGGGCTCTACCTGGATCCTTCTAGATCTTTTCTTATGCAGAGTCCTCTGTGAATATAGCAGTTAATGCTTCCTTTGTACAAGGGACCCGAGGACAGGCCTGGAGAGAGGGGCTGGGTGAGCTCCCATCCTGGAATCCCAGAACTGCTGCCCTTGGAGATACCCTGCCTCTGGGATTCTAGCCCTTGCCAGGAATCTGTGTCGCTCACCTGCTCCATTGCTCCCACTTTCCTCATGTCTTTATTTCAACTTCTTAATATATACCATCTGAGAGAGTCAATGGTATCTTCATCCTCCGGCATTCAAGGATTTCTCAGAATTCATCCAACTGAAGCAATACTGCCCCAAAGTGACTTGGCCACGCTGCGATGGGCATGGACAGCAAGGGAAGGGAACCTGTGAGAAGGACACCTGACTGCAGGTGTGAACGAGGCCTGGGCTGTGCGCTGCTTGTGATCAGTGCAGAAGCTTAGGGAAGGATGAGATGCTGGCGAGGTTGTGCCCTTTGCACTCAGCAGCGTGGATGTCAGATGCAGCCACGTCACTCCAGTCCACCTCGTTCATTTTAACTGCCATATAATTTACTGTTAGCTAGCACTTCTTTTATATCGGGCACTGTTCTAAGTCTTCAGCAAATTAACTTATTCAGTCTCACATCAACCCTCTAAGATGAAACTTTTTATTATCTCCATTTTACAGAGGAAGATACTGAGTCACAGAAAGCTTAAATAACTGGCCTAAGGTCACACACAGGTAGTTGGTAAAGCTGGGATTTGAACCCAATCTAGCCAGAATCTACACACTCGCCTTTTTAGGCAAAGCAGTGCTGGGGGTGTGGATGCCCATTGCATGGATAGTGGGGTCATGGAAGTCTGTCTGAGCAGGCGGAATTTGTACACGGACCAGAAGGAGGTGAGGGAGCAAGCCCCGAGACTGTCTGGGGAGAGCATGCTAAGGGACAAGTGATTTGTGTGACATCCTGTCAGCAGTTAGAAGCAGAACAAAAGCCAGGACTTGGTCTCCTGACTTTCCTCAAGGCTCTTTACCTCTTTTGGCATATATTCCATTAAGATTGCATTATGGTTTGTTTAGCCATTCTATTGATGAACACAGCCAAGTTTTTGTTATTACAGACAACACTGCAATGAATATCCTTTGTGTCTTCCAAGCCCACACAGAATGTTTCCCTAGAGTACTCATCATACTTGCTTTACCAGCCAAGTCTGGTAAAGCAAAGTGGTTGTAACAATTTGATCCGGAGCAGCATACATGAGCTCGAATTTCCCCACATTGTCAACAGCCTTGTACTAATGGACTTCAATGTTTTAAGTCAATCTAATGAATTATAAATTCTCACTTTATTTTGCTTATTTGATCTTCATATCCTGATTATAGTGATGTTAGTATCTCTATGTGTTTATTGACCATTTGTGTTTCTTCTATAACTTACCTGCCTGCTCATGACCTTTACCTGTTTTTCTTTTGTTTTTTATTAAGGTATTATGATATACACTCTTATGAAGGTTTCGCATGAAAAACAATGTGGTTACTACATTTACCCATATTATTGAGTCCCCCCCATACCCCATTGCAGTCACTGCCCATCAGTGTAGTAAGATGCCACAGAGACACTATTTGCTTTCTCTGTGCTACACTGTCTTCCCCATGATCCCGCCTACACCATGTGTGCCAATTATAATTCCCCTCAATCCCCTTCTCCCTCCCTTCCCACCCACTCTCCCGCACCCCTTCCCTTTGGTAACCACTAGTCCCTTCTTGGAGTCTGTGAGTCTGCTGCTGTTTTGTTCCTTCAGTTTTGCTTTATTGTTATACTCCACAAATGAGGGAAATCATTTGGTACTTGTCCTTTTCCGTCTGGCTTATTTCACTGAGCATAATATCCTCCAGCTCCATCCATGTTGTTGCAAATGGATCTTTACCTGTTTTTCTACTGTTTTTTTTCTCTTTTATCTCTTGTAGATGTTCTTTATATAGTCTGAACACTAATCATTTGTCAGCTACAGACATTGCAGTTATCTTATTCTACTCCATGGCTTATCTTTTTATTTTATGATGTCTTTTGTCATTAAGAAATTTTCAATTTTAACACAGTTAAACATATCAATCTTTTCCCCTTACAATTTATGTTATGTAATATCTTTACTTTGCTACAATTATTTCTTCTTTATTTTTTCCCAAAATTTTTGAAATTTTGCTCTTTCATCTTTAGGTTATCCATCTGGAAATTATTTTGTGGTTAGTTTGAGTTAGAACTCTAAGTTTTTGTTTTGCTGTGTGATAACCAATTATACCACTCCATTTATAGACAGCCCTTTATACTCTTGTTTGAAATGTTGCCTCTGGCTCATTCAAGCTCCTGGATTCTCAGGAGTCTGTCCCCGGTGTCTTTCTTTTCTTCCACTGGGGAATATTTCTATTTATGCACAAAATCACACTGTTTTAATCACATAGCTTAATAATAAGCAGTACATTATATATGGCAATTGCTCTCCTTTTCTTCCTCCTCTTCCAATTTCTTCTTCAAATATTGTCTCTGTTTTTCTTGATCCCTTTTTCCAAGCTCTGTTGGGATTTTAATTGAAATTATATCTTCCCATTTATAAATATAGTCTATCCCTCTATTTCTCCTGGGCTTTTTTGTCCTTCAGTACATATTTAGTGTGTCATTTATTAGGTTTATTAGTTTTTGTTGCTATGAGGAATGGGTTCTTTCTTCCTATGGCATTTTTTAATCTGATCATTGCTGATATAAAGGAATGTTGTTTTTGCATATTGATCTTGTTTTGAACAACTAGTGAATGTGCTTAATATTTCTAAAAGTTTGTTGATAGATTAGTTCATATTTTATGTGTAAACAATCACACTAACTGCATATAAGCTGAGGTTTGTCTCTTTTTAAAAAGTTTTCAACACATGGACCCCTGGGCCTCCCTCCTCCAGGCCATGCATCCTCCTCTTGTTCCCAGCCTTGGCTTTTCTATACTGAGGTTCTCTGCTTAGTTCCTGTGCAAGCTAAGGCAGCAGTGGGTCACCTTCTGGTGATGTGTGCCTAGTTCTGTGATGGGGCCAATTT